TTGTTAATAGTCTAAATTAACAAATTAATTAACTAAAATTAATTTTGCTTTATTTATTTTTTTAAACAGCTAAACAGCACTTAACTGAAAACCTAAGACCAGACTGTTTGCATCTTTGGTTGCAGAATGACTAAGTCAACATAATAAACAAGATCTCTTGAACATAGCCTTGGTTTTAGAAAAAATGCACAGTTCAGTTTTTTTTCCTGCTTTTCGGGGTTACTGCTGTAAGATGCAAACAAAAAACTCAAATACCTAACATGCCATGAAGTACATATCCATGTAAGTTTGTAAGTGCTCGAGCACTTTCATCAACCAGTTCAATAGCAACACCAAACAAAGAGGGGGCTCTCTCTGGAGCTTCATGCCAACCTCCCTCCAGTATGTTACAACGCATTGCATCAGTAATAGAAAGGAAAGAAGAAGGAACAAAAATAAAGGATGCAAACTTCAAAAGATTAATTAGCTTCTTATCCTGTCAAACACAATATTCTGTATTTGGCTAAACAGGACAAAAATGGTTAAGATGCCCGACTGATGCCGTTTGTAGAACTGAATGATGCTGTCAGGAGGGCTTTAGTTGATTTAAAATGCTTAACCCGTTTCTTGCAGGCAGGCAGTGATAAGGTGAAACACGAGTGCTGCTGAATAAAGAAGAAGTCTGGTAGAACTTTTAAGGTGAAAAAAGATAGTTTAAAATTAAATTATTCCAAATATGCTGGGCACTCAGAATAATTTACCTTACTTAAAGTGGACAGTGCATAATAAAGATCAATTAAATGGTCTTGCTGATCTTGTTAACAAAGTCCATATTTTTAAATCAGGCAATTTCAGTGTTGCTGTAGTCGTGTTTTTGCTGTGGCCATTTCTCATTATAAAGCAGCAGAGAACTGCATTTTGCTCCTGTAATATTTTGCTCCAGTCTTGTAAATAGTGCATCTAGTGTGTACCGTCAAACATTTAATTGGGAAGCCAAGTTCTGTCCTCCTCTGCTAAAAATAAGCAAGCACAGTCAAAACACTGCAATAAACTGAGGTGAAATCAAGGTTTTCAGAACGGAAAACAGTTGACCAACGACAAATAACACTTGAGCCTCCATCAAATCATCTGACCTCCAAGGAGCAGGATCCGGTGTGTATATCATGTCACCCTAGTTGTCACGTGCCGGTCAGGGACACACGACTCGAATCGAAAGTGAGTGCGGCTTCAGTGTCTCCAGGCACATGTTCTCAAAAATAGACAGGAAACCAGATTTACCGACCTGCGCATGTATGCCATCACCAACTAGTCAAGCGAGAGTATACTTCTATGCATGTCCGCAGTCATAATACACACAGTGAAGAATCTTGTTTATTATGACCAATTCTTTGACTACATATAAAATATGACTACAATCGCACCCGATGTTCCTAAACTATATGCATCATCATAAAACTGATGACACATATAATCTTAAAGTGCCCAAGGGAACTAGGAGAGAAGGCTGTAGAGATACAACCTGAAAAACAAGCATCAGATCTTTGCTGCCATAACCACCATAAAGGTTTTCATAACAGTAGCAGGTTTGTAGTTTTTCTAGAAGAGAGCAGTTAAAATGGCAACAACTGTATCTGACTGGAAAAGTCTCAGCCCAATTAACCACTGGTATAATTAAAATTCACAATCCTAATGAACAGTCTAAAGCAGGCCAATATATAGATCTGTATCACTATTGAACTTACTCATGGACAAACCTACAGGAGACTGAGGTGTGAGAAACTTGCTAAAGAAAGTTGTAGCATGCCCGGAGCACCTGCTCAAACCACAGATGCTTCTTGCTGATAGCCGTTGATGCAGGCATAGCTGCTATGGGCAAGAATAGATTGCCTTACTCAACAGCCCTGCAGTGCAGGGTGTGGTGGCTGAGAAAATTAATACCCCAACTAAAATGTCCTGCTGTTAATGTTCTATATCGTGACTGTGTTTCCGGCAGCCAGAATAGGTATCAAGCTGTTGGAGGAGATGGCAGTGCGGATTCCCCTGGTCACCTTAATACTGGAGTAATTCAAGACTATTTTAATCAGCACAGCAGTAGCTCCAAACTTTAGTGGTTTATATGTTTGCCTCACAAGTGAAAGATCTCAGGTTTGATCCCACGAGGAGACAAAACCCTTTGGGCTGTGTCAGAAAGGGCATCTGGTGTTTTAAAAAAAAAACAAAACCAACATGTGGAGCTACCCGCTGTGGAGACCTCTTCTTAATAAGGGAGCAACTAAAAGTAGTTTCATTTTTAATCAGCAGAGTATGAGAAGGTTTAGAGCCTGGGTGCAACCCTCTGAGATACTCAGCAGACATATAGATGCAAGAAATAACCTCTTAGTAAAACCTCTTTAACAATTGAAAAAAAATAATAATAATTGTAAGAAAACATTTTGTGAGCAACAAAGCAGAAAGTCCAAGCTTAAAATGCGTTCATACTGCCAGGTTATACTAAACCACAGAGACCATAAGAAACCCCTGCTATGCCATTCACTGACAGCTGTCACATATGCAGCATAGTCCACGTGGCATGTGCTCTACATGCAGCAGTGTAAGCAAGAACCGGCCTTGTGGGACCTTTCCATTTAGTTCTTACTCCAAAGTAAACGACATGGAAGCTCAAGATTCTTTTCAGACATACGTGTGTATGTTAAACCAACGAAATAGTAAAACAAAAGCATTCTTAAACAAAGCACATATGCTTTGGTATTACCATTGCCGAGTCTGCTGCATAAACAGTGATGAAGATAGAAGTAGGGCTGTTCGATATAACGATATATATCGGATGACGATATAAAAAGCCCAAGATAGAAGAGTTTCATCCTTTGACTTTACCTCTTCGATCATTTTTGCAGTTTTCTTGCTTAATGCTTGAAAGCCAAGTGTACCATATTTGAAACACGAGTTCTAGACTTCTACATCTTTGTTATTTTGTTTCTCCTGAAAAACCTAAATAAAACTGCACAATACAATTTTAAACAATAAACTGCAAATAAATGATGATGTGGCAGATATAATTCAGATTTGGAAAAATGGCTAATCAACTTTTCTCTACCTTTATTTTTTATTTATTTTTTTTTAGCAGTTTTATTGTATTTTATTTTGTTCCATTTAATTTGCTGAGCTATTTGGATTTTTACACGCTGCTACTATACTACATTCACCATAGAATGGGTTTTATTGTATTGTATTGACATTTTTAGTCAGCATGAAAACTGCAGGCTATATTCATACATAGTAATTAGAGATAATAAAACACTTTGCTGTAAAACAAAGTGCAATGAAGGTTTGAACTCTGCTTTGTTTACCCATCCTGTTCCTGTTTAAACTGAAGAAACTGCCTGTTGTGACATACCACAGTTTATCCTTTTAACCTATGATACAGGCCATTACATAAAAGGCACAAATCTTAACAGACATTTCGTTTTTAAAAAATCGAATCAACAAAGCAGCTTGCTTTGTTCTGGAAGAAAACCCAAGAAGAAGAAAAGGACAAGCCGACCCTCCCCAGTGACTGTCACATCTATTCTCATTTCTATTTCAGTCCATATTTCACAACCTCTCTCCTCACCATCAGAGTCCTCTTCAGACTTTTGTGGCAGATCCAGTGGTGACATTTTTGATTAATCTATCTATAACTCCAATCACAGCACCCAGATAATTGGCGAAAGGTCACCAGGACAATTATGGCTCAATAAAAACATCTGCTGTCACTGCTCTAATATTTAAGTTCCCCACCAAATCAGATTCTTTAAATGGAGCGTGAGTACAATGTTGCTGAGTACAATAAGAAAGCTTTCCAGCTAATGAAGTTGATTTTAAGTAACATTTTAAGGGAAAAAAACAAAACCAACAAAAGAAACCTAACAAACCACACATTCCTTCTTATCGACAATTTAAAAAAAAAGTTTGACAAAATACAACTACTACATTACTGCCTGTATTAGTCGCTTCATTGCAAAATTGTGAAAATGAAACCAACCCTCAACTGTGTTATAGACTTTGAATTGTACTTTTGTGCATTTAATCTGACAATAAGGTGGTCTTAAAGTTTTTTTGTTTTCAGTTGGGAAGCTGATTTCTGGCAATCTGATTTCATTTATTTCCAATCACATTAAATTATCACACCGATTCCAGTGAGCACATGAGTCAAAGTAAAGTTTCAACGCGAGCAGTGTTACCATTACAGGCAACTTAACTAATGCCGTAATTAAGTAGTAACGTAATTTTATGGCTTCAACCAACAATACTGATTTCTACATTAAAATAAAAAAAACAAAAACAAAAAAATGCAAACGTATTTGCCAATTAACAAAAAAGAAAAGAAAAAAACAAATGTCATAGAAGGCAGGATCAGTTGCTCTATAGCCTATCATAAGTCAACAGCTGAAGACACTTTTGTTTTAAGGTTTTCCATTTAATCAATACTTTATCCAAAAACTTCCCCTAAAAATAGGCTCGTAGTTTACGGCCTTTTTAAGGCTATAAGCTGGTGTCCGTCCCCTGCCATGGGTGGAGCTGGGGCACGCGAAGCTTGTATCAGTGCATAGTGAGATGACAAAAGGACAAATTTGTATTTACATTTGCCATTTTTAAACTAGTCATATCACTACCAATCAACATACTGTGGAAAAAGAAAGAAGAAATGTTAAAAAGGGGGAAAAAGGAGTGGGGGGGTTAGGTCAAGATTTTTAATTTATCTGTAGCATGTAACAAAAACAAGTCTATTACGTTTACAATTTGTCAGAAAAACATTCGCTTAACTCAGTTATAACCCTGTCAATGCAAACTATTACTAGAGTAGTAACGAACGAAAGCAACACAGCAGCTTAATTTTTTTGATTTGCCGTTTTCTATAAACAGGCAGCTATAAAAGCAACACCAACCAAGGTGAAAAGGGGTAAGCGTGTTCGATGACCTCTGGCATTTCCGGATCGGCCAAACCCAAACTCTGCGACTGGCTGAATATGTACAACACTCACCCGTCTACGATAGAAAGGCAAACCCTGAGCAATGATGTTGATGCTGAATATCTTGAGTACTTTCTGAGGAGGTAGTGATTCCGTGGCGATGTCTTTAGAATCAGCCGGGTTGAGTGCCTGGCTCTCTGGCGGAACGTGTAGAGTCTTCTCTTTGTTACAGGAAACATTCGGCATCTTTCTCTGAGCGCCGGATGACGAGAAACGGGGAATAGGGCAATGCCGCAGCATTGCAAGAAACAAGAAACAGAAAAGGAAAGAAAGAGATGTCTAACGTATCATTTCCCACTAAGGGGCTCTGAAAACCGACCAACTTGCAAGTAGATACTTTTTCTTACACCACTGCTGGATCTCCCTCGGATCTCTCGAACATTGTGCAGCAGATGTGTTAAAACTGCACTTGTCGAGCTCCTACCTACTCAGAGCTCATGCTGACTGGCACCCTTTAAAATATCTCCGGGGTGTGAGGTCACTGTTGCGCCCAAGCCAGGCAGAGCAGCTGCTGTCGGGGCCTGAAAAGAGGATGGACCCAGCAGCCTCTCCCCCCTCAGACAGGCACCGTGGAATCTGCTCTCATGACCCCTCTGTGGTGGAATGTGTACCAAGAGTCGTCTGTTGCAGCACGTGTATCCAGGGAACTTCCTCATTGTAGTCATTCTCTGAGCCCCTCCTGGTCCTCCTACCTCTGTGGCCTACATCATCATTTAGCCCATTTAACTTGAACACACAAAATTGTCAGCATACGACAAAAAAACATATCTTTATTGGAATCAGATGTCAACATGCCTGTGGAAGGAAGGATTTGTTTTACACCAACCTTCTCTGGTTCATCCCTGAACCGTGATGTTAGGGAATGTCAGTAACTTTGTCAGCAAAGAGGCTGAGGATATTTCAGGAGGCGACACAGCTGTCCAACGTCAGTATGTGTGACACATGCATTTAAACAAGAATTCACTTAATCAGTGAGGGATGCACTTTGAAGTCTAGTGCATGTGTTTTCACATGAAGCTATGAAAGCGAAGCAGCAGCAGGATGCGATGGTTTTTAATTAAACCGTGCACCACACGAACACAGTGTCAGAGATGTAAAGGAATAGTGATGTGAAGGTCCAAATGGCAGAACGAGAGAAGGGGCAGAGAAAATGGATATGTACATTCTCTACGTACGCTTTTATGCCAACTTACAAAAAAGAAAATTAATATGCAGCAGAAAAAACCTTTCATAATTGGCAGCAAATACAAATGAATCTCCAGTTCGAGTGAGTGGCAAAACACAACTATCCCTCTGTGCATTTAAATGCCCGAGCACATGGTAACAAAAGACCTACAGGGCTTAACCTCCCTTCTATTCTCACATCCACTATTGTTTGAGGAGGATTACAGGGCCTGAGCATCCGACAGTACGCCGAGGACCCCGACACACCACTCTGACAGTCAGCCGCTGGACGCCATTGAGTGTTGTAGGCAGACCAACACCCATGGCTTTTAACAGTATGTTTAGCACAGTTGGAACAAGCAACTGAACCTGCTGGACTAACAATGGCGACCACATTCAATAGATTCAAGGTTTCGTTAATAAATAAAATAAATTTTAAAAAAACGCTATTTTTTTTCTATAGGTCAACTGATCACAACTAGGAACCCCAGGAATAAGACCGATCACCAGCCTCCAGTTGGTGCATCATCCTCCAGCCTGTCACTCACTCCTTAAACACTTGAGGCAAGAAATGGTGCCTGTTGTCAACCAAAAACCATGGTCATCCAACACAAACTTGCATTTCTAGGTGGCGTCAGCTCTGGAGCTACAGCCAAATAGATGTTGGAGAAGGTCTGGACATCAAGAAAAACAAAGCAAGCACTCTATAAAGCTGTGGTGCTTCCTATACACATCTGACAGTGAGATCTGGGCAAGCCTAGAGGACTGAGGTCTTCCACTAACAATCACTCTGGCTGATCATGATCATCAGATGATTGCAACAAGTTTCCAATCAAGAGATCCTGTCCAGAGGATGTATCATCACAGTGGAAACAGGAAATTGTCTAAGCTCTTCGGAACAACTGGTTTTCAGCGAAAAGTATAATGGCTAACAAGGCAGATGAATGACAACCTCCAACACGTCAACAACTGAAAGTACCAGTAGACTGCAAATGGAGACAAATCCCAATAAAATCTGTCTCTTCAGTTATGCAGGTTGCAGCCCGTGCAGAGAAACAAAGACTTGTTTTTTATGTTGTTCTCAAAAGTCAAAGAGAGACTAGGTGAATACTCAAATTGAGGAAATGTGATGTAAAATAAACAACAAAATAAAAATGTAAAAAAACAAAAACAAAAAAAAAAATCTGCTATACTCCAAAACAACTAATGTTGCCTGTTAAAAGCTCAGTCAATTGTTTGTTGGCACAAGGCATCCAAGTTCAGCTTGGTGTGCCAAGACACGGGCGCACCAATCCTCTGAGACAAGAGATGCAGAGTGTCGCCTTACACATATGCACAAAATAAAATTGTCTGATGACTATTGACTACTCTGAAAAGATGGATGCCCCATTCCTCCACTTATCCGAAACGATGAACGGGACCATTTAGTTTTCCCATAGAGAAAATAACCACTACTATTAGTCCACATCCAATGTGTCCTAACCAGTGAGGCACCAGTGAGCGGCCGCTTTTTTCTGATATGGTTCAGGCCTTGTAGGTTACTTGAGCTTTCAGACTAATCTTAGGTCAACAAGCTATGTGAAAGACACGCTATTCCAGTCTGCTACAACATGATCACCCCAAAGTAAGTTGTTAAACTGCAAGTCATGCAAGGTGTTGTTTTTTGCTTGTTCTTCTTTCATTATAGAACAATTTCACATAATCCAAAAACCCTGAACGTTATCAATAAATATCAATTTGCTTTGTCCATGACCAAGAAACCTAAAGATTATCCTTCCAGTGAAAAATGTATTTTAAGTTCCCAGTTTGCTATGGGGTGGAAAGTGGCCTGGGGTTATGCACCATCATAAAAGGGCAAAAAATATCCCTGGCACAAAGTAGACAGGAACATGCATCCCACAAGCTTAAAAATAATCAAGAGTTAGCCAAACAGGAACAATTAAAAGAAACCTCATACCATTCTAATAGATACCGACAATATGTCATGGCCTATTACAAATTTATTGTATTATTACATTTATCTCTCCTTTTTTCTTTTTCTTTTTTTTAATTACTTTGCCTCATTGTTACTAATGGGTCAGAGGGGTTGCAATCCCTGAAAAGACTACTGGAGGCCAGAGGCCAAGAATGTTTGGCTTGGAGTAACTCAACATCATTACACGGGTCACTCCCAGCTTTTCAAAGTGACTGATGTGACGGGATAAAAACTTGGGTTGTGTGTGAGGGGCAAAGAGTGGGAGTGCCAGGTCATTATTTTCTTTATTTTCAACTGCTCCTGGAAAAGGAGCCAAGCAATGACATGGTCCAAGGAACCCCTTCAGATTCATGAGTAGTACTCATTGGTCCGGCTATTAAACTGGTTCGGGCCGAGCATAAATTCTGCGTAAATGCTGCCAAACTACCTTCATAGCCCATCACAGCAGTTTTGGAGAACTTGAGGTGATTGTGAAAAGTAAATCTCTACAGACTCAGATGAAATATAGATGAAATATATTTATACTGTGTGACAATGACAGAAAACCCATCAGCCTTAAATTAGTTAAACGATAATAATATCAAGGTATTCCAAAACTATAATATATAATGAAGTGGAAAAAGGCAGCACTCTGCTATTATCTTTAAACACCTCCATGGTACATATAAATGATTAAAGTGAAAGTTTCTGGAGGGGGGACTACATCACTCTTTCTGCTCCTCTGCATCGGCAATCTGAGCTGAGCCGCCGAAAGCCAACCACCACCTGGATTGTGTATGAACATGACCCCTCACACCACTGCCTCCCTCTGGTGTGAAGGTCTGGGACAAATATGCTGCACTGAAAAAGCTACATCTAAAATCTTTTGTGATACAACGCACTGCTTACATGATCTTCAACTAAGAACTGGATTTTGTAGGTGCTTGTTTCAACCCTGCAGTACACTAGTACACTATACTATACATGATCTGATATTTGCTATGCTGTTTGTACTGCACTGAGTAAGCCACTTCATATTCTGTTTTTCCTTTCTTGATTTTTGATTATTTTATTTTGTCGTTTATTAAAAATTTCCATTACTAGTGATTTTAATATTAGATATTCATTGTTTATTTTATTGAGCTACACAGCAATATATATATTTTGGTTAAGCCGGTTACTTAATATTTAATATTTGTTTTGTTACTTGAACTTTCAGGAATACCCTTGACTTTGGGATAAACCGTATAAACACCCCTCAATAAGAGAGGGGTGAATAAAAATGAAAGTTAAATTCTCTTAATGAGCTGCAAGAATGAAAGTGTTAGTTAATGGGAAGCAACTGAGAGTTTTATATTGCTGAAACAGTGACTTGCTGTGGTAGGTTTGGGTATGTTCAAATAGGGGCTCAAGAAAGCCCAGGTTAAAAAACAAAAACAAAACAGAAGTCCAGCTCGCAAAAAGACCTGCATGAAGAAAATGAGAATACATAACCTGGAAGTTATATGCAGAGTAACCCCAAAACAAGAATCAGCTGAAGGTGGCTGTAATGAATGCCAGGAATGCTTCAGAAAGGCGCAACGTGAGAATTGGTTAATTATCAGAGCAGGAGTTAACTACCTTAATTAGCCAAACTAAACTATTTTTGAAATAGAGTTATCTGTGTTATTTGTGTAGACACACACACACACACACACGCACACACACAAAAAGAACAATTCAGCAGGCCAGTGGAGGTGTATTAGTTTATAATGAGGGCCTCTGTGAAAGTAAATCGTCATCAATATATATCGGTAATGACTCAAACTAGTTGCTTTCATGTGGGAGGCTGAGAACACTGGTCCTTTGTGGCTCATTCCTGCCTGTGTGATAAGGCCAGTGTGTGGGAGATGCCATCTACATCTGCCTTCTCTTTGGAAATATATTTAATTGGTGGCAGCGAGTGTGTGTGTGTGTGTGTGTGTGTGTGTGTGTGTGTGTGTGTGTGTGTGTGTGTGTGTGTTATAAATTGTGTCCAAGTTTGCTAAGAAGTTATTAGTCATTCCATCTAAGACAATATAAAAACTTTGCTTGTGTACAGAGCCGACTGCAGTTTAATGCACATTATGAATTTAAGCATTCGTCATCGTGTTATTCATAAATACAGATTTAAATACGTTCTTATGGAAACGGGGATACCGTGAGAAATATTTCGACCTGACTGGAGTCAATGCCACCAAAGTCATGAGCAGACGCAGCTCCTAATATGTCCTTTTGTAATTACTCACAAAGATAAAGAAAATCCAATTATGGGGTTTCTGAAAGAGTTTGCTCGACTTTCATTAATCTCTGTATCATCCATTGTAGCTGAGATATTATTCCTTTTTTTCTTCTGATAGCTTCTCAGATTTTCAAACAAGTTCCCCACCCACCTTTATCCTCAGATGTAAATTTATGCAGATTTCATCCAACTTATTACCCAGACAGCTGGACTGTGGTCAGGATAACGTACAGTAGTTTCTTTTTTCTCCCCCCCCTCCCCTTTTTTATTTTTTTAAGTTAAGGCAAAATTATTTAACGGACCTGCACATAGCGGCACTGACAGTTTATTTCCATCTTCTTTGAATCCAAATAATTCAATACTTTATTCTATCACAGTGGAGGTCGGTACCCTCTCCCCTTATCGCACCTTCCTGTTTTGCCTTATTGTGGCTCTGCAGATCCACTTGCCACCAAAGGTCTCTGATGAGTCATGATGAGACATCTAATCCTGTAAGATCACATAATGCCTTATTCATGAGTGATATATTAAAATTAATTCTAAGACGGACAGGCAGCAGTGTACTGTAGTGAGAACAAAATGGGTATATTATGTTCCTGCTTATTTAAAAACGGTTTAAAAGTGTAATTAAGATGCAATTTAACTGGATTTTGCAATGTGCTTTCCCATTTGAATTGTACTCTTAAAATACCGTAAAACATTTAATGTTTGTTTTTGTGATGCTGATTTGCATCAAAGGG